GAGACATGTTCCCTGCACATCGGGCAGTGCTTGCCGCCCGCTCACCTGTCTTCAAGGCACAGCTCCTAGGCTCCACGGCGGAGGCCAAGAGGCCATCCGTCTCCTTGCATGACATCACGCCGGCGACATTCAAAGTCATGCTCCGCTTCATTTATACCGATGCTTGACCTGCAGATGCCGAGCTCGAGGACTCCCCGGACGAGTTGCTGCAGCACTTGCTTGCAGCAGCGGACCGGTTCGCGTTGGATCGCCTGAAGCTTCACTGTGCTAGCAAGATCGGTCGATACTGTTGCTGCTACTTTGATCTGTGCCGAAACATACAACTGCCCGGAGCTAAAAAAGAAGTGCATCGATTTCTTCGGGGAGCTAAAAAAAAGGCTGTGTTGACAGACGGTTTCTTTCAGCTGGGACAACAATTCCCATCGATTATTGATGAGCTGAGGTTGAAGGTTGGAGCATAGAAGCAGCATGCATGTCTACATGCTAGCTTATGGCTATAGTACTAGCTTTATGGCATGTTAGGTTCGGCAAATGCTATCTAAATCTATTTAAAAGTGCTTAAATTTTCTGTTTGTGTCAGCTACTGTTACGTTACTATCATGCAGACTTTTATTAGCCTAGTATCAACAATTTCTTAAGTGAAGTCGTTATTGTGTCTTATTCGTATTGCATGTCTTGCGTATCTGTGTCACAAATTCACAATGAAAATCTGTATGTTTATGTCTGTTTTTTTTAAATTCGTTTGATTCTTTATCTTGTAATATGATTCGAATCTTTCTTGCAAACTCACTCTACATGACAGAAATATTTTGAGTTGTGTCGATATCTGAAGATACGCATCAGATGGTTGGACTTCTAGGAGTCAGGTTTTCAATCGCCCTCGAGTATTGTATGTATTGGAATATTACCTCTATGCTGAGTCGTCGTAGTATACTTGTTTTAAGCATGGACTATAAGTGTTTTTTTTTGAAAAAAAATGCGACTTGAGCTGTATTTTAAACGTGCAACATGACTATAACAAATTAGTTGATGGATGGTTTTTTTATTGATGAAAAAGCAACAATTACATTGCCATTGCCTTTGGTTAAAATCACTCTTAAAAAGGACCAAATAAAGACCTTAATTTCAACTTTTAAGATGTAATTTTAACTTCCATAAAGCTTTTTTTAGAGGTGATACAATTAGGTTTACTGACTGTCTATACATGTCTGTACCTTTAGTGATCCTTGTTTAGTAAGACTCCATTTGATTGAATCATGTTGATTGCTCAAATGCACAAATGCAACCACTGGGACAACCTCATTCCATTTATGTAATATATCCTTGACTAGAGCCCTTTAGAAAGTTATGTTAAGATGTGTAAAACTAAGAATTTCAATAACTGATACATTTTTATTTCTAGCTAGGACTAGGCACTTTTCCACCAAAAACCGCAAACCCAACTCAACCGAACCAAAAATTCGGTTTATTCAGTTTTCAATTCCTACATTTCAGATGTTCGGTGCTCGGCTTTAGTTTTGGTTTCCTACACAAACCGAACCGAAGAACCGTAGCAACCGAAGTCTTCAGGGCATCCGCATAAAGAGGGGGAAGCAACCCTAGCCGGCCAGCTCACCACGGCCCAACGCCCCAGCGCCCGCCCCCCCGTCCCCAACCCCACCCTAATATAGCCCGGACACTCCCTAACTTGATGACTCCCACTCCTACTCACACCCTAACCCTAATCTGCATCTCTACAAGCAGTGGCGGCACGGGCTCGACGGCACGTGACTGGACAGCGCACGGCATGGGGCCTAGTGGCCGGCATGGTGGCGCGAGCAAGAGCGCAAGGAGGCAGCGAGCAGCACGACACAACCAAGGAGCAGCCCTCATGGCGGCTTTCGCGAGCAGGGAGGCGGGGACGACAAGTGGCGCTCATAGGGAAGCGATGACCGACCACCTTCATCAAAAAGTTCTCTGACCAAGACAACGGCGACGCGGACTAAGAAGCCCTCCAATGTAAGTTTTGTTTTGGTCTTAAGGTCTTTGGTCTTCTCCTGTTCTCCTTGTAGTGAACCATAGAACTAGATAAACCAGTAGTTGATAATGCGTTTGAACCTTCTTTACAGATCAAGATGCTGCAATGGGGAAGACAATTTCTCAAGTGTTTGCAGAAGCATGGCATGGATTGTGCACGTTTCACATCATGCAAAATGCTATGAAACATCTACATGAAGAGAAGAATGAAGAGAGCAATGAAGATAAGAAAAAAGGAAAGAAAAAAGGGAAGAAAAAGGAGAAGAATGAAGATGCAAGTATTCTATCAGATTTCAGTGCATGCATGTTTGAATATGAAAACCAGGCAAAATTTGATCAAAAATTTAACCTCATAAGGCAAAAGGTGAGCAAGCAAACTTGGTTAGACAGTATATACAAGTTGAAAGAAAAATGGGCTGAATGTTACATGAAGGATGTCTTCACATTAGGAATGAGAAGTACACAATTGAGTGAGAGTCTGAACAATGACTTAAAAATCCATTTCAAATCTGATTTTGATATCATCCGGTTCTTCAAACATTTTGAAAGGGTGGTGCAAGGGAAAAGGAACAATGAATTAAATTTAGAATTTGACTCAAGGAAAAAGTTGCATAAAATCTGTATGAGTAGGCCGCCACCTATGTTGGTGCAGGCAAGCAAGCTATATACACCTATTATATTTGAAGTTTTTCAAGATGAATATGAAAGATCTTTGGCAGCTTGCATCAAAGCGTTGGATGGTATTAATGAATATCTAGTAGGAGATTTTACATATGATGAGGAGTATAAAGTTGTTGGCGATCCTTTGAAGCCAACAATTGTATGTGGCTGCAGGCAATTTGATAGAGTTGGGATATTGTGTGCTCACGCTCTTAAGGTTCTTGATTTGATGAATATCAAGACACTACCACCACAATATGTGTTAAGGCGTTGGACACGGGAAGCACGGGCTGGAACTGTACAAGACAATCAAGGGAGAAATATAATTGAAAATCCAAAGATGGACGCTGTACTTCGGTTCAGATATATGTCCCACAAATTTCTTAATTTGGCACATCGAGCAGCTAACTTCCCTGAATGCACAATGTTAGTGGACAACACACTTGACATCCTTGGCAAGCAAATTGAAGAAAAGATCAATACAAGTCCAATCACTTTGCAGGATGCTAGTACAGTTTGCACAGATGCTAGTCCACCAAATGATTTGTTCATTAATGCTAGTCTAAAGAGAAAGGATGTCTAAACAAAAAGTTCAAAAAGAAAAAGAACTTGGCTCGATAAGAAGCACCGGGCTAGAAAAAAGAGTCAAAATGAAGCTACATCTCAGTTTGACGAAGCGGCTAATAATGATGCTGCACATGAATAGGAGGCAGGTTGTGGTGGGGCACAGGTACAAGAGGAGTTGTGTTCATTATTTCCTGAACCCTCTAATTCAAGTGGTGCACAAGCACAAGCACAAGTTAGCTTCACGCAGTTGTTGGTGGTAATCTGCTCATATAGCTACTCTACAAATCTGGAGATGATACGTCTTTTAAAAAAACTTACTTCTTTATTTAACATGCAGGGACCAATGACACATGACCTGATGAGTGGATTCTAGTGATGTTGTTATGAAGAACTTCAGTGTTTTAGAAGTATGGAGGATTATCGCATATAAGTGATCTGCTCCCAAGTGGATATATAAGTTCAGCTTTCTTTTGCTATAAATCAGTTATCTGGTACTAGATGGACAAACTCAGCCTTATGTTATCATTTTGCAAGCAAATCTTTTATATATAAGTGCTTGCAGTAAATCTGGATCTGGATTATATAAGTGCTTCCAGTAAATCTTTTGTAATACCTGAAAATTCTAAACAATGAATTCTCTTATAGCTAAATCTGAGCACACACTGAACTGACATATTTTCAGTGCCAAGTCTGAATCTCTTTTCACCCTTCAAAGTTCTCAAATCAACACAATCATCACAACAGCAGTGAAGTCTCAAATACACATAATAATCAAACTCTCGAATTGACAGCCATTCAATCACAAAGAAAACTGAGCCACAATCTCAACTCACATCAATTACACAATGATAATTCAACACTACTGCTTGTTTACTGATAGTCTGAACTTTAGAGTTTGGCTTCTCAAGGGCGACGTCGAGCAGCGTCCTGCAGGGCTGTGAGCTAGCAGCCATCATCTTCCCACGGTCCGTCGAAGCATCCTCCCATGGCCCGTCGAAGCCAGAACCATGAATCCGCCGTCATCGGCGCAGAGCTCGACGGTGAGGGTGGAGAGTGCTTCTCCTTGGATCTGCATGTCTGCTCCAACGACGACGGGGTGGGGGCAGAAGAAACCGCCGGCCATCTCCACGAGCGCCACGACGGCGAATCGCTGGAGCGCTCTGGTTTTCTTTCCCCTTCTTTTCATTTGTGTTTTGCGGTTCTAGAACATGGGCCAAATCACGTATATGGGCCAGGACTGCGTACTCTTCTTTGCTTATTTGCTATGTACCATCCGATGCCAAACGCGTAGCGACGTCCCTCTGCCGTAGAGTCTTCGATGGTAGAGGATCTCGTCCGTCCCCTCACGGCCTTACGCCCTCACCCCCTCACGCCCTCACCCCCCTGTTTCCCCGAGAGCCGCGACGGCGCGACCCCGGACTCCCTAACCCTAGTCGGCGGCGGCGGCAGGCGGCGGCGCGCGCGGCAAGCTGCACGGCAGTACGGGCCACGGCCTCCGCGGCTCTCCACGCGACCGCGCCTAGGCAGCAGGGGCGGCGGCGCGGTGGGAGGCGGGCCGGCGGCCGGCGGCCAGCCCAGGATTCCAGGTGACCAGGTCGGCCCTCGGCAGGTCCACAGCGGTTCTGGCGTTCTGCGGCTGCAGGTGCGGATTGGACTTTGGGCAGGCTCCTCCTGAGTAGTAGTAGCACTATTTATACACTGTTGACGTATCCTCAAATCTGCAATCCCGTCCAACTTCTCTAAACATAGGTGCCAGCATGCTCGATTATTCTTATTTTACCCATCAGTTCAAACTCGGCTATTGGGAGACGGAGAACGTCGCCATCGGGCACAAGGTCTGCTCTGAGGACATCTTGGCTGGGGGACACCTCTGGAGGATCGAATGCTACCCGCGTGGAAAAAGGAAAGAGGAAAACGGCGAGTGGTTATCTATCTTCCTACACCATGTGAGCGAATCCAGAGACGCCAAAGCGATCTTCGAGGCCTTGGTGATGGACAAAGACGGGGCTCTATCTTCGTCCGATAGAAGCAGGTGTGTGCGTGTTTATGGACCACAGGGTGGCGCTGCTGCATCTTGCTGGGGCTGGTATCATTTCCTGCAGCGAAGCGTCCTCCGGTCCCTATACCTGACCAATGGCTCATTCTTCGTCATTGCGTGCGGGATCAAGGTTATGCAGAAGGACCCATTGGACGTGCCTCCCTCTGACATTGGGAGCCATCTCGGGCGCCTGCTGGAGTGCGCAGACGACGGTGGCTCTGATGTTTTGTTTGTCGTTGGTGGTGAGAAGTTCCCTGCTCATCGGGCTGTGCTTGCCGCCCGCTCCCGGTCTTCAAGGCTCAGCTCCTGGGCTCCATGGCCGACGCCAGCATGCCATTCATCACCTTACATGATATCGCGCCGGCGACCTTCAAGGTCATGCTTCGCTTCATGTACACCGATGCTTGTCCTGCGGATGCTGAGCTTGGGGACTCCCCAGACGAGATGTTGCAGCATTTGCTCGCTGCAGCAGACCGGTTCGCGTTGGACCGCCTGAAGCTTTTGTGTGCGAGCAAGCTGTGGGATAATGTATCACTGGACACAGTTGCCACTACATTGATGTGTGCCGAAACATACAACTGCCCGGAGCTGAAAAAGAAGTGCATTGGTTTCTTTGGGGAGGGGAAGAACTTCAAGACAAAGGCTTTGTTGACAGATGGTTTTGTTCAGCTGGCGCAACAATTCCCATCGATTCTTGATGAGCTGAGGGATAAGGTTGGAGCATAGAGGCAGCATGTATACATGCTAGCCTATGGCTATATATAGTACTAGCTTTATGTCATTTTAAGTTTGGCAAAAGCTATCTAAATCTACTGAAAAATGCTTGACTTTTCGGTTTGCAAGTGTTGCCACTATTATGTTACTGTCATGCATGCAGGTTTTTTATTATCCAATTGATCGACAATTTGGTAAGTGAAGTCGTTATTACTCCATTCGTTGTAAATTATAAGTTGCTTTGACTTTTTTTGATACATCTATTTTGCTATGTATCTAGATAAATAATATGTCTAGATACATAGCAAAATGGATGAACAAAAAAAGTCAAAGCGATTTATAATTTGGAACAGAGGGAGTATATCTTATTTGTATTATTGTGTGTCTTGCATATTAGCTAGTATCACAAATTCACAATGCAAGTCTGTATGTTCATGTCTGTTTTTCTTAAATTAGTTTGAATTTGTTTCTTACATTATACAATTCGATGGTTGCTTGCAAACTCACTCTACACGACAGAAATATTTTGAGCTCTGTCGACAGAAATATATGAAGATACGTATCAGATGGTTTGGCTTATAGGGAGTCAGGTTTTTAATTGCCCTCGAGTATGCATTGCATGCAGTATTACCTATATGCTGAGTAGTACTTGTTTTAAGCGTGGAGTGATGCTTCTTTCTTGAAAGTAGCTGAAGCCGGATTTTTCCATTATCTAAAAAAATATATTTGGAATATTTATTACCTCTATGCTAAGGAGTAGTACTGCCACGCTATAGTTGTTCTAGTGTAGTATGAATGTATGATTGGTGCGTGCTATGTTTGTCCTACGTTCCATTATATATAAAACTTTATTGTTGTAATCTTATAAGTATGTTTTCGTAATCAATAAAGTTCAAATTAAAAAGTTTTATTTAATCAATATGTATTGTGTAAATATATGCATATCTGCAATTGATTCTTGGCGGTGCTCCCGTTCCATGACGAGGCGCCAACCACGGCTATAATGTTTCCATTCTACCTTTTTAATGTAACACGTGTATGGATGCATGTTCGCTAATGGTCTCATTTAGCAATTTTGTTGCTTTTGATGTAATCCATGATCCCCGTTCTTGTAATCTGGTAGCCCACCACTTAGCCGCCCTTGGGGCAAGTTTGAGTCAGGGTACTAATCCAATTTTGGATAGTATTCCGTTTTGTATTCTGGTTTATGAGTAATGGAGATTACTTCCATGTCAAAAGAAAAGTAGTACTTGAGTTGCTTTCAAACGTGCAAAATGACTATAAGGGCACTCACAATGCAGACTCCACCATGGTTTATATGTTCATTTATTATACCTCTATTTATTGTTTTTTTACTGATGTGGCACTGTGTTTATTGAAGGAAAAAAAATGAAGAAACCGGGTCTAAGATGGAAACCAAGCCTACGCTCCAAACGAAGTAGAAGAAACCAAAGCGTCCTACGTTGGGGAATTCCACCGTGGTTTCTAGCGATCCCGTGCGCCTTCCCTTCTTCTTCCCTCCCCAACGCGGCCGGTTGACCCCTTCCGCACCACCGCCATGGAGCTCCAGCCGTGGCCCGCCGTTGCCGCCTCGACCTCCCTCGCAGGCGCCCGCTAGAGCGGCCACATCTGTGCGGCCGCTCGACGCCCTTGCCTATCCACGCCCTTTGGCCGCCCGGCGTCGCCCGTCGACGTGAGGAGATCGAGATCGATATGCAAGAGATGTGGAACGGAGAAAGAATCTTCCTCTGTCCGATTCTGTTTTCAGATAAGCAATAGTTCCCGAGTTTGGCTTACAGCAGCTTATAAGCTGAGTCCGGCCTAAGGACCACATGTCATAGAAACGAATTACAGCATGTAAATAGATGACGTTTTGCAGTAAAGGAAAATGTAAAGCTTCAGTGCGTCTTCTTCATTCTTTTGTCTGTGGTGGTGTGACAGTCCCCCCTCCCCGGCAGAAGTTCCTGCTTGCCCCCAAGCAGGCGTATCAGGGAAACGCTTGCGCAGCACGTTGTAGTCTTCCCAAGTAGCAAATATTGCTGGCAGGTGAGTCCACTTGATGAAGACGTGCGGAACTGTGGTGTTGCCCTTCTTGACCAGACGGCGATCCAGCACTTGCTCAGGTACTGCTGCCGAGGCTTCCAGATTAGTTGTCACCGGTAGAGTGGAGTAATCTGGAGTATGATCTGCAACAAACGGTTTCAGTTGGGAAACGTGGAATACAGGGTGAACTTTACTGTGGGATGGCAACTCCAAACGATAGGCCACAATGCCTATGCGCTCCAGAACCTTGAAGGGACCAAAGTACTTGCAGGCAAGTTTGGGATATGGTGTGTTCACCATTGAAGATTGTGTGTAAGGTTGGAGCTTGAGCAATACTTTATCACCCACTTGGAATTGAAGGTCTGAACGTTTTTTTGTCAGACATTGTTTTCATTCTGTTTTGCGCTTGGACCAAGTGTTGCTTCAGTGATTGAAGATGGAATTCTCTGTTCTCTATCAATTCAGTGTTGTGATGGGTGTAGATGCATCAGAAGAGGATGGAATCCCAATGTTGGCTTCTACACCATACAGAGCTTTGAAAGGAGAGCACCCTAATGAAGTGTGATATGCAGAGTTATACCAAAGCTCGGCCAGTGATAACTAGGTTGTCCAACTCTTTGGAGCGTCTTGTACTGCACAACGCAAATACATTTCAATGCATTGATTCACTCTCTCTGTCTGTCCATCAGACTGATATGCTGTACTCATAGCTAGCTTCACTCTGTAGAGTTTGAACAATTCCTTCCAAAAGGTGCTGACAAATATGGTGTCCCTATCACTGACAATTGAATGGGGTAAGCCATGGAGTTTGACTATGTGATCCATGAACAGTTGAGCTATGGAACTTGCAGTGTAGGGATGTTTGACAGGCACAAAATGAGCATATTTGGTCAGTTGGTCCACAACTACCATGATGACACTGTAACCTTGAGATTTGGGCAGTCCCTCTACAAAGTCCATTGAAATGTCCATCCATACTCCTTCTGGTATTGGGAGGGGTTGAAGAAGACCAGCAGGCAAACTGTTTGAGTGTTTGGCCTGCTGACAGATACTGCACTGTTTCATACCCTTCCAAGCAAAATGGTTCTTGAGGCAATAGTAAGTTGCTTTAGTACCAGAATGGCCTCCAATAGCACTAGAATGAAATGCAACCAGTAGCTTAGTTTGGAGTGCAGAGTTGTTGCCAATCCAGATCTTGGACTTGTATCTGATCAGACCATTGTCCAGAGTATAGCCTGCAACATTTGTGCTTTGGATAGCTAGTTGTCTTAACAAATCCTGAGCCCTTGAGTCAGTAGCATAGGTGTTGAGCACCTCCTGAATCCAGTCATGTTTTACCATTGAGACAGAGTGAAGGAATTGAGATGTTGTATCCTGGAGAGTGCATCGGCTACAATGTTCTCTTTACCTTTTCTATAGACAATCTTGAATTGTAACCCCATCAATCTTGTCATTTCTTTTCTTTGCATCTCAGAGTGCAAATTTTGTTCACTAAGATAAGATAGGGATTTATGATCAGTGAGAATGACAAATTATTGTCTTTGTAAATAATGCTTCCACTTTTCAACTGCCATGATGAAGGCTAAGAATTCTTTCTCATAAATGGATAATGCTTTATGTTTCTCCCCCAAGGCTTTGCTCAAAAAAGCAACAGGTTGCCCAGATTGTAATAAGACTGCACCAATGCCTTCACCACTTGCATCAGTCTCCACTGTGAATGGGGCACTGAAATTTGGTAGAGCCAGAACTGGGGTTGTGGTCATGGCTTGTTTGAGCAGATCAAAAGCTTGTTGAGCTTTAGTAGACCACTGAAACTGTTTGGATCTAAGTAAGTTAGTGAGAGGTTTAGCAAGCACTCCATAGCCTTTCACAAATTTCCTATAGTACCCTGTCAGCCCCAGGAAAGCTCTAAGTTCTGTGAATGTAGTAGGTGTTGGGCAATGCAACATGGCTGAAATTTTGTTTGGATCAGTAGCCACCCTCTTAGAATAAATTATGTGTCCCAAGTATTCAAGCTGTGGTTGAGCAAAGGAGCACTTAGACTGCTTGAGAAAGAGCTGATTCTTTTGAAGAGTTTGAAGTACTAGCTGTAGATGTGTACTATGTTCTTCTAATGAGTTGCTATAGATCAAAATATCTTCCTGGAAGACCAATACAAATTTCCTCAAAAATGGTTGTAGGATTTTATTCATCACACATTGAAATGTGACAGGAGCATTGGTAAGGCCAAATGACATTAATTTAAATTGATAATAACCATCATGAGTTTTGAAAGCAGTCTTGTACTCATCCTCAGGTAACATCCTGATTTGGTGATAACCTAACTTCATGTCCAACTTGGTGAAAAACCGGGAGCCAGATAGTTCATCCAAAATTTCTTCTATAATTGGTAAAGGGAACCTATTCTTGATTGTGAGGTCATTTAGTTTTCTGTAGTCCACACAAAAATGCCAAGTTCCATCTTTCTTTTTGACCAAGAGTACAGGTGATGCAAATGGGCTGTGACTATGGGTAATGAGTCCAGCCTGTAAAAGTTGCTTCACTTGCTCTTCTATTTATGTCTTTAGTTGTGGGGAATAGTGGTAAGGCCTAGCATTCATAGGCACTGCACCAGGGATCAATGGTATGGCATGATTATAGCTTCTAGAGAGAGGCAGAGTTTGTGGGTCTTGAAATACTTGGCTATGTTGGTCCAGGACTTGCTGAATGCAGGATGGTACCTGGTTATTGGCAGTATCAGTTTGACTCAGGGCAGACTTTGTGGTAGTGACAACTGCAAAGGCCCAAGCATCATTTCCCTTGGTTGTATTATAGAGTTTGGTGGCTGATATTGGTCTTGCTGTCAGTGGAGGAGGTAACAACCCTTGTAACTTGATCAATCTGCCTTTATGAGTGAATTCCAAAGTCTTGCTGTTCCAATCACAAGTCATGGGACTATTGTTCTTGAGCCAATCATAGCCCAAAATGGT